GTACACACAATTGCATACATCAAGCTACCAACAGCACTTACATACGGAACCTTTGACATGTATTCCCGTTCTGCATCATCCTTAGGTGACATGGATGCACCGAGCTTGAAATGAGGAGCAAGAGGTGTACTAACTGGTTTTGACTTCCCATCCATGCCAAAACGTTTCAGTACCTTCCTCAGATATTCTTTCTGAAACATACAAAGCCTCCCTAATTTCTTATCCCTTGATATCTCCATGCCTAGAATCTTCTTCGCTTCACCAAGATCCTTCATCTCAAACTCCCTGTTCAATTGAGTCTTTAGTTTCGCAATTTCTATCTGACTCCTGGAAGCTATCAGCATATCATAAACATAAAGAAGAAGATATATAGGATCCGTCTTGTAGCTTGCGTAAATACACACAATGATTATATTTGCTTCTTGTGTACTTCTGCCCTATCATAAACTTGTCAAATCGCTTGTACCACTGCCTTGGAGATTGCTTCAATCCGTACAACGATTTTTCTAATTTGCACACCATCTCTTGTTTTTCAGCAACTTTGAATCCATCTGGCTGAGTCATGTAGATTTCCTCATCCAAGTCTCCATGTAAAAATGCAGTTTTTACATCCATCTGAACTAGTTCCAAATCCAACTGTGCTACTAAAGCTAACAAAATTCTGATGGAGGAATGTTTTACAACTGAAGAAAATACTTCATTATAATCAACTCCCTCCGTTTGAGCGTAGCCTTTAGCCACCAATCTTGCTTTGTAGCGGATGTTATTCTTGTCAGGAAATCCATCTTTCTTTGCATATACCCACTTGCACCCAATTGTCTTCTTTCCCTTCGGAAGACTAGCTAGTTTCCACGTCTGATTCTTTTGAAGGGATTGCATTTCTTCATTCATGGCGATCCTCTACTTTTTATGTTCTGAACTTTGGACTCCTTCATTAAAAGTGACAGGAACGTCATCAATTGCAATTGATGATGCAAAAGAGACTATGTCAGCATAACGAGCAGGTTGTCTAATGGTCCTCTTTCCCTTTCTGAGTATAATTGATTCATGTTGTTGTGGAGGTTCTTGGGTCTGAATCTCTTCTTCATCTAACTCTTCTTCTACCATAGGATAGTCAACATCAGTTTCTTTACTGGTTGGGTCAATTTTGCTTCCTTCAAACTCCACCTGTTTGAGAGTTCCATCTGTATGCTCCAATTTTTCTGAAGTCACCTTTCTCAACATGGTAGATTCATCAAAGGTAACATCCCTGCTGAAGATTATTTTCTTTGTTTCTGGACACCAAAGACGATAGCCTTTCACACCAGATGTGATCCCCATAAAGATCGCCTTCTTTGCTCTTGGATCCAGCTTTGACTCCTTAACATGGTAGTATGCAGTGGAACCAAACACATATAAGGAATCATAATCTGTAGCAGGTTCTCTAAACCATTTCTCTAATGGTGTTTTACCACCAATAGCATTCGATGGTAAGCAGTTGACAAGGTGACAAGCATAGACCAAAGCCTCAGCCCAAAATTCTTTGCCTAACCCAGCATTAGGCAACATACACCGAACCTTCTCCACTAATGTTCGGTTACGCTTTATCACCCCATTCTGTTGTGGTGTAGATATGATAGTGAAATGCCTGACAATACATTCTTCTTCACAGACTTTCAGAAATGGATCATTTTTGTACTCTCCACCATTGTCTGTACGGAGACGTTTGATTTTTCTGCCTGTTTGAGTCTCCACCATCTTTTTCCATTTAAAGAAAAATCCTAGCACCTCATCCTTTGTCTTCATTGTATACACCCAAACTCTCCGGGAAAAATCATCAACAAAGGTGACATAATAGTGTGTTCCTCCTAATGAAGTTGTCTTGGAAGGCCCCCATACATCTGAATGAACATAATCCAAAATACTTTTAGTATCATAGATTGTTGTTCCAAATTTCACCCTCTTCTTTTTCCCTTTGATGCAATGCTCACAAAAAGATAATTTGCAAGCCCGAGCACCCTTCAATAATCCTTGATCTATCAGCAATTTCAAGGATTTTTCACCAACATGCCCCAAGTGCATATGCCATAACCTGGTTGCTTCTGACTCATGTTCATCAATAGAAGCTACCACTGCTGCTGTCCCAACAATTGTACTACCCAGAAATTAATACACATTGTTTCTTTTCCGGATTCCCTTCATTATCACCAGTGCACCAGAGATAATCCTCATAATCCCAGCTTTTGCCCTCACTTCTAAACCTTTTGACTCTAAGGTTCCCATAGAGATGAGATTTCTCATTAAATCTGGTACATATTGGACACCTGTTAAGGTTCTGATTGATCCATCATGATTCCTCAAGCGAATTGAACCAATCCCAAGTGTGTCAAGAGGGGAATTATTTGTTGTGTAGATAATTCCACCTTTTAGTTCTTTAAAATCAAAGAAGCATTCTCTATTGGGGATCATATGGTGGCTACAAGATGAATCTAACAGCCATGAACTGGAACAGCTGGTTGATGGCGTAGCAGCGAATGCGAAATCTGAATCTATATCATTATACTCGACCATATTTGATTCTGAGACAGCCTTTCCCCTTTCAGGTTTGCCTTTATTCTTTAGCCTGGGACATTCTTTCTTCCAGTGCCCTTTGCTCGACAAAAGGCACATTCATCTTTGCTCAATCTGGACTTTGACTTCGATCTCCCTCTCCTTCCTTTATTCTGACTCTTTGAACGGCCTCTAACAACAAGAGCTTCTGCTTCGACACTTGTATTTCTTGTTTGTCTTTCTTTCTCAATTCATAACTATACAAGGCACAGTTACTTCACTGAGAGACACATCAACTTTCCCATGAAGTAGAGTAGTTTCAAGATACTCAAACTCATTAGGAAGTGATCCCATCAACATCAGAGCCAGATCTTCGTCTTCAAAGTCACGTCCATATTCATCAGATCAGTCACCAACTGATTAAAGCTAGTAATGTTATCATTCATAGTGGTACCTGGTATATAGTTGAAGCGAAACAATCTCTTTTTCATGTAGAGCTTGTTCTGACCGTTTTCTTCAAAATTTCTCCTCCAATGCCTTCCACAATTTACTTGCAGAAGTTTCCTTAGAAAATACATACTTCTGCTCTCTAGAAAGACACGATCGAATAGTACCACATGTCAATCTATTGATCATCTTCCATTCTTTCTCCTCAACATCATCTGGTTTCTCTTCTTCAATAGAAATGTCTAGACCCTGCTGAAGTATGGCATCTAGAACCTCACTTTGCCACATGCCGAAATGACTGGTGCCATAAAAAATTTCCACTGCAAATCTAACATTTGTCACAACATTTCTTGTGGATGTTTTTATGTCGTCTGTCATTTCTACTACAAATTCTATTTAATAGTTGTCAATGCAGAATGTCAATTACCCCAAGGAAAAAAAATTTCTGATGTGGAAGATCAGCCTAAGCTGCAACCACAGAGCATACTAAAATAAACCAAGAGCGCTGATACCAATTGTTGTGGAATTCGGGTTAATTTCCACCAATAATAACAAATTCACCTTGAAAACTATTATCTAGGTGGCTAGTGTGAAAACGATTGTACTAAAAATCACCCCAAGGTAGATTCCCAAGAAAGAGGATGGGTCACAATGGTCCCTCTTAAAATCCATTTTCCTTAGACAGAACTACCAAAACTAGTAATTTTAATAGGACAATAATTAACAACAACTATACCCGACAATAGTTATTAAATAGACATATAGAGAACACCAAAATTTAACAAGGTTAGGCCAAAATTATGTCTACCTTCTCGAACACTACTAAAATAATATTTTACTAATAGAGGAAATATTACAAAGAGAGAAAGATTACAAATAGTCTTTAACAATGAAGAATGTTTATATTTGTAGGATGCTAAACTAAAGAGGAGAAGAATTCTATTTATAGCAAAATAATTTTCCCTCCTCCTTTTACACAACCAATGTGAGATTTTACCAAAAAACTAACAGATACAAATATATGTTCAAGAGCATGGTTAATTGAGTGTCCTTGGAGGATCAAATCCCCATACCCATTTATAATACAAATATATTATACTAAAGTAGCGGATTGTTCGAACCCCGGATTTATGTATTGATATATCGTTTTAGGGTGAATTTAGATGGGCTAGCACATTTTTTCTCAACTTCAATAAAAAATGAAGTTAACGTCTTTGATATGCATATGCCCAGACAATATAAACTCCCTTTCGCTGCCTTTGCCTTCTTTCGTCTGCCTCGTGGCCCGCCTTTTCCTTCGATGGATTCCTTCGGGTAATCTGAAAACCAATTCGAATTTCATGTCTATGTCTATGTGTATCTGGTCTCTTGTATTTTTCCCTGTTCTTGTCCAGTTAAAAACAAATTTGTTTTTCAGTCAAAGTTCTAAGTGATTTTATAGCAAAACTGATATGTTTTTAGATGTAAAAGTTGAACTTCCCTTTTGGGGTTTTCGTTCTTAGTTATTATCTCTTAATTAATCCCTAATTTTTCGGGCCTTTTAAAATTTGTCTCTCTTGTTAATTATATGAATACTGGGTTTTGCTTGATTTAATTCCAATTGTTTTTTTTTCCAATATTAAGCTAAAGATCTCTTCTTTTTTATCATTAAAAAACTTTGGGTTGTCTTTATTCAATCATTCTAATTGAATCTTGATTGTTGGATCTGTGACTTGATTTGTTCTTCTTTAGGGTTTCTTGTATAGGCGTTCTTTTCTAATTTTTTGTTTCTCGGGAAGATGGATCATTGCAATCTTGTACATAACGCCGCTGTTTCGGCTTATGATCACCAAAGGGGCAGCCCCGTTGTTAGCCCTAAGCCTCGGCGAATTGGGTTCTCCCCAATAACCCTAGCAGGCCCTTGACATTGAATTTGAGGTGCAGTTTTCATTCCTTTTATCTGATACTATTATTTGAATTTTATTTATTTATTTGGATTTGATTTGTTTTGTTTTATAAGCGTCGTTATTTAATTGTGCTTTTTTATTTCCGTGATCAAGCCGAGATAACTGACTTGAGAGCTGGTCTGAGCTTTTAGATATCATCCTGAAGAAGGTATTTTAGAATCTGAGCTCTAACTTCATATAATTTTTTCAAGTGTCCGTATTTGATTCACATGTTTGTATTTGATACTCTTGTTTGACTGTATCTGAATTAGAGTGCAAGGATTTAATAGGCTGAATTAGCTTTCTTTGACACGAAACTGCTGCTGTCACTCACATGAAAATCTTAGAAAATACTGAATTTGTGTTCGACGCAAATTTGTCTAAACATCCTATTGTTAATATGTATGATCCTTCAAAACCTTCTAATGCATGAAAATCTTAGAAGTTTATTGCTCTGTTTGACTCAAATCTGTGATTGACACTCGCTCGCTCTTGAATTCATCGAGTAACTGAGTTTATGATCCTTTAATCATTAAAGTTATGGACAAATCAAACTTAATGTGTTTTAAACTTTCAATATTTATTCCAAGATTTAGAAATATTGATTAATATTTTTGTTTCCATTCTAGATACATGAAAATCTTAGGAAAAAGTTGAATATAATTGTGTTTGATACTCTCTTGAATCTGCTTTAGTATTATATGGTATGAAGATATGATTTTCTAGCCATGAATTTTCTGGACAAATTGAACTTGTTTTTCAATATATATGTTCCAAGCTTGAGCAGCTTCCAGGGTTGACTTGTTTTAACCATTTTTTTTTTTTTTGCAGGAGGATTTCGGGATAGAACAATCTGCAAACCAAGTGGCATCACCACCCCCATTTTTTCACGGTCGCCTCCAAGTAGGGTTTCGAATCCACCTGTGGAAAGATGCTCTATTCAATGACGGAAGACATGTATCCCTGGAAATCCCATCTCTGTCTTCATCATCATCATGTAAAGGACGGTGTACTAGGTTGAAGTTTGGCTATAAACCGGCCACCATTAGAGTAGAAGGATTCGATTGCCTAAACAGAAGTCGTCAGAATTCCAGCATCCCTGCTATGGCCTAAAAGTAGATCAAGTGTACATACAAATGCCCCAATTCCAGAAAACAAAGCGACCTAAAAGCTGATAATTTTAGAGAAAAGTAGAGATAATTTCAGTTGAGTAGTGTTTATGATGTTTTTGATTGCTAATAGCCACAGTAAGTAGTTTGATAATTGATTGAAGGGAAGATAAGGCGGGAAGCAAAGCTGTGAAGAAAGGTCTGAATTATGTTATTTTTGTAATATATAAGATGAGGGCTACAATTGGTAGAAGAATGATTGATTGATATTTGTTATGGAAATGGAGATCACCACCATTGGAAATCTGTATCCGTTGAATTTTGTTTAGCTACATTCCTCTGTAATGGTTATGCGCATGCTATTTATGCTTATGTCGTCTCATAATGTTTGGGTATGTGTCGTACGTATATATGCTTTGGCCGAGACAGCTTCCAGACTCGAGTAAGAATTAGAACATTGCAAGATGCAAATGGTGGAGCCTCCCCCCCCCCCCCACCCTCTTTCTTCGGGACAAAGCGTGAATACACAACAGGGTTCGTGTCCGAATCCAAACATTCACCAAAGTTATCAAAACTGAATGCTCAATATGTGTCCCTAGCAAAATGCAAGTGCTCAACACAACTTTCAAAACTGCCATATACCAGAACTACTGTGCACAGCAACACTCCAACCCATATTAAATTCGGTAGACGCATTGTTGTGCTATATTTTCACTTTCTGAGTATTAGATATTATATATGATATAGGTTGTCACTTCACTAGATGCTTTTGGTTTAAAAAATTGATCAAAAAATTAATAAATTAAAAAAGTTTTGAATAGATAATATCTTGTAATTATCACATATTATTTTTTAAAAATATTAAGTGGACAATTATATTATATTGAGTTAATTGCACTACACGTCCTCAAACTACATACCATTCTAGATTGATCTTCAACTTTTTGAACATTCTAATTTCGGACTCTCATTCTAAATTGGTATTCGATCTTTTGAGCATAGTTTGGGCATTTTATATGAACATTCATTAGTTCGGGGACCAATTTAGAACGAGGGTTACAGTTTGAGGAAGAATATGTAATGCTCAGAAGTTTGGGGATTGAATTAGAGTTAGAATAGATGTTCAAAACTTAGGGACTGATATAGAATGAGTCACAGTTTTGGGATGCGTCATGCGATTAACTCTATTATATTGGCGAAAATGCAACACTGGACTCCGAATCGAATGATGATTGTTTGACATATGAAATGGTAAACCGATGGTGTTGGTCTGTCGGAATGGATCATAGTTTGAGGTGGTGTCAATTTGTTTATGCAACTCTTCTGTGTAATTTTGTGCTTCCCGTATATGTTCATTTGACAGCATTAGGTGAGCGATGTGGACAAGTGTTGCGGCCGAAATGACAACGTCCATTACATCTCTATTTCATTGCAACACAAGCCTTATCCGTAATCTCTATCATCCTCATTAAGGAAAGTGCTTCTCCCACTTTGGCAACTTGATTTGTCGTCAGCCTAGTCTCCTAGTATTCCATCATCCCAATTACGGATTTTGAAGGTCGTGTCTCTCTATCATGTGTCAGTATACATCATTCGACATTCCATTAAATTTCCTATCTACTTCCCCCTAGTTTCGTACAACTCTAGAGGCATATAATGATACTTCCATTTACTATCATACTCACTTTGCCACCATTTTCCTTATCAAGTCTCTTCTAGCATGCCAATTATGGGCTTCAAGTATGAAACCATTAACTGCCCCACACATGTTATTGTGTCCATCACATAATAGGCCATCATTTAGGTTGGTTTTGAGGATCCGAAACAATTCCAGAATTGAAGTTGCAACTCTTTACCACTATAATTCCTCCACCTTCCACAGAATGCTCCACCGTAGGAATAATTTCCTCAACTTACATCATACTAAATAATCAGAATTATAAATTAATAAGATATTATGTAAAAATTCTAACAAACGCTTTTATAATTTAATTTTTTTTATTTACTCATTTAGATGAAACTTAAAGATTGGTTCCAACTCAGACCACGTTTGATATTTGCAAAATTATTATTATTATTTCGATAGTTAAAAGTTGCTCAAATTTAAAAACAAATCCTAAGAATACATGACATGACAGCAACTAAGCCTATACATAAGTAAGAATCATACAACATAATTGTTTGAAATAAAGCTATATTAACTCAAATGACATCTTAGCTGTCGGAAGTTAAGACTCTTATGAGGGACTAATGTCCGGAAAAATTATAAATTATTTCATCCATTTATTCGACAATATCTCATGCTATATCTAACCTAAAACAACTCATCGCACCACTTTTCCCCCCTCACGCTTATGCTTTTGTCGATTCCATTATTTAATGAAAATTAAGGTCCAAATAGTTTGAGCGGGAAAGAAAAATTGGAAAAAAGGACACATGGCATAATTTTATTAAAGGGGCATGAATGGGGGCAGTAAATGGGGGCAGAGGAATTATATTCCTTGTATTCACCTCAAACTAAAAAAAAATTAAGAGGATTTTTAGATTACTTGGAAATGAGGGTAAATTACATAGCATGCTATTATATTTATGAGTAAGTTTATAATCAAGTTATAATATTTTAAAAGTTATAATTTGATCATTCAAATTATCAATTGTGAATAATTTTTTTACCCTTTTTCTTAAACAGAAACATTAATTAGAAAACAACTTCATGTGTTTCATGATCGACGATAGCAGCTACCATAGATAGGGACACATCAAATAGCATCTCACTCAAAGCTTGTCCTTATATAACTTCTTCAAATCATTCGCTTGCGAAAAACATGTTAGATTCGGCACGAAACAATTTATCTTAGTGGTTAAAGGAATCGTTATTGTTTCTAGAGGTCACGGGTTCGAGCACCAATAACTGCAGTAGGGTAATTAAGCCTTCATTATCAAATGACTAAGAGTAATTAGAAGATATACTACTTTATAATCACCTTAACTTAATAAATAAATAAAAAAACATGTTCGATCCGTACCTCCCATTCACCTTGAAATATCATGTGATTCGCATCCACTTTAACATGATCGCGCAACATATTTGAATTTCTTTGTGTCACCCGAACAACTTCAGCACCATCCATCTCAATAACGATTTTTTTCCCCATGCGGCAGGCGGGTGGATTATTTGGCCCACTAGGGCACCCTATAAATTATATTGTGATCAATGACATTTTCTACAATGTGGGGCGAACTCGTCATTATGGGATATAATTTTTTATTCCATACCTAATATTTTAATATTTCATTTGATTAAAAATTATTTTTTCAAGATTATTAAGTGAATTTATTTTTCAAAAAAAATATTTGGGACGAGTCCCACATATTTTTTTTCCTCTTCAAAATGTGGTAGACAATTCTGAAAAGAAAAAAACTACAAACTTATTACATTAACATGAGGACGTAAATAGGACTAATCTTACAAAACAATAAATATTAAATAAAAATGTTAACATAACAATATTGATTAAGAAGTTTTAATCTTCGTAATCAGTAGACTTGTTAGAAGTAAGATTAAGTTATTCAATTCCTCATTCTTTTTGTTGTTGCCTCATCTATGTTTTTTTCTTGGTCATTTGTCTAAGTTGGTGGGATATTCGACCTGGAAGTAACATCCTCAATGGTACGAGCAAGGTCGAGATCATTGAACTCTACAAACAAATCAACATTAGACAAAGAGTGATATAAATATGTCTCAATCATGCCAGCAAGGTCTACATCATCGCTTAGATGAAACCTCGTGCATGATACTAGAAATTTATAATATATGGTAGATACTCTTCTACTACTTCCGAGTAGAACTCTTGTTTCTATATTGGACTTCAACTCGTGTAGTTGGATATTTTTAAGGAAACACATGGTTGTAGATTTGCAATCGTAAAAAACAGTTGCGCAAAGAGTTGACATGTTTGAATAAAAACTCAAGCTTTGGAAGTGAAAGATTGAAGGTGTTATAGTTTTGTTTTTTTGCTTCAATATCAGAGTTAAATGGCTTTCAACTCAAACGTATGAATAGTTGCTGAATGTGTTAATGCACCACTATTTCACCCATTTTTTGAATAGCTGCTTGAATTTTGCATTAGATAACCTCTGAAAAGTAGCTGAAACAATGCATTATTGCTTCAATAAATGACCTCTGAAAAGTAGTTGAAACTATGCATTAATTGAGCACCGAAAAGTAGCTAAAGTAGTGAATAATTTATCTTGGTTAAAATATACGTTTTTTATGATTTGATGTGACAATTCAACATTGAAAAGTTTTCTAATTTAAGTTGATATATCACTGAGAAGTTGCAGAAGATGATAATACATCATTATTTTCACTCGTTTTCTGAAGAGTTGCTTGAATTATGCATTAAATAACCTCTGAAAAAGTAGTTGAAACAATGCATTATTGTTGCAATAAATGACCTCTAAAAGTAGCTAAACAGTGCATTAATTGAGCACCGAAAAGTAGTTGAAGCAGTGAATAATTTGGCCTGGTTAAAATACACGTTTTTTATGATTTGAAGTGACAATTCAACACTAAAAAGTTTTCTGATTTAAGTTGATATATCATTGAGAAGTTGCAGAAGATGATAATGCAACACTATTTTCACCCGTTTTATGATCAAATGCTTGAATCATGCATTAAATGACATCTGAAAAGTATTTGAAACAGTGCATTATTGTTGCAATAAATGACCTCTAAAATGTAACTGAAAGATTGAAGATTGAGATGACATTTCACTGCAGAGTTGTTGGATGGCAATTAATAAGGGGTCGTATTCGTTTTAAATTGGCAGACTTCTGATGAATCTTCACAAGCCTTATTATTTTGCTGCAAGTGTTTTGAACAAGAAAAAATCAATCTCTCTCTGAAGCTACGGCAAACAAGTTTTTTGCGGCCGTCCACCCAAATGGTCAAGTTGTTGAAGCTGAAGATGATGTTCAGTTCATGTCACAAAGTCCCATGAACATGATGTTCCCGGAAAATGTAAGTCATGTACAAATGAAGATGAAAATTAAAACAAAATCAAAGCTTTGTTTCAAGTTTGAGATATCGATACATCATTTAAAAGACTCCGCTGAAATATGGAACAATTATGCTCGATGACGACGACGATGTAGTTGTTATGGTTGATCTTCATCAATCTTCCGGTAATCAAATGATTGGGATTAGTGTTGAAACTGCAAATGTTCCTACTTCCTCAACTGTTGGACCGATGACCGCAGAAGCATGACCATCAGAAGATATAGATAACCTTGCCAGGTGATTTGGTGAAATCCTTACTGATTTTAGT